AAGCCCCATATGGGGGTAATTAAGCCCGGTATGGGGGTAATTAAGCCGGGGTAGGGGTAATTAAGCCAGGGAGCAGGATAATCACCCCAGGGATGAGTCTAATTACGGAATGGGGGTAATTAAGCTCGGGATGGGGGTAATTAAGCCCCAGATGGGGGTAATTAAGCCTGGGATGGGGGTAATTAAGCCCGGGTGGGGCTAATGACCCCCTGGATGCGACTAATTACCCCCGGGATGGGGCTAATGACTCCAGAGATGAGGCTAATTACCCCCGAGGTGGGTCTAATTGCCCCTGGGGCGGGTCTAATTACCCCAAGAATGTTCTAATTACCCCAAAGATGCTCTAATTACCCCAAGGATGTTCTAATTACCTCAAAAAAGGTCTAAATTACCTCGAGGTGGGGCTAATTACCCCCTGGATGCGACTAATTACCCCAGAGATGGGGCTAATTACCCCCAGATGGGGCTAATTACCCCTGTGGATGTGACTAATTACCCCAGGGATGTGACTAATTACCCCCGGGATGGGATTAATTACCCCAGGGGGGCATCTAACCACCCCAGGGACCCCTATTATCCCCTCCTTAATCCCCCCTTCCCTCCTTAATTACCACCCCTCATCCTTCCTTAATTACCCCACCCCCGAGGCCCCGCCCCCTCCCACCCCAAGCTCCGCCCACTCACCTCGGGGGGGGGCCCGTTGCCACCGATAGTCCCAGCTCTGCCGAGCCACGGCCCGACGGGCGGCGGCCAAACCCCCCGGCCCGGCCGGTCGCCTCAGGTCCCACAACTTGGCCGTCTGGTCCTTGGAGTTGGAGACCAGGTAACGCCCGTCGCCCTGAAGGGGGGGGGGTGGGGGACACCAGTTTCACCAGTAAACCCTTCCCAGTTGACCTCATCCATCCATAGCTACATCCCAGGGGCCATAAAACCCCACCCCAGGGCTCCCAGCACCACCCGCAGCATCTCCAGAGCTTCTGGAGAACGTTCCACTTGGACCAGTTCCACCAGAAACCCAGCCCAGTCGATCCCAGTTGCTCCCAGTTGACCCCAGTTGACCTCATCCATCCATAACTACATCCCAGTTGACCCTACACCCAATTCCAGGGCTCCCGGCGCCACCCAGTGCATCTCCAGAGCTTCTGGAGAACATCCCAGTTGAACCAGTTCCACTAAATGTCCGTCCCAGTTGATCCCAGTTGACCCCAGTTGACCTCATACGTCCATAGCTACATCCCAGGGGCCATAAAACTCTGCCCCGGGGCTCGCAGCACCACCCGCAGCATCTCCAGAGCTTCTGGAGAACATCCCAGTTGGACCAGTTCCACCAGAAACCCAGCCCAGTTGATCCCAGTTGACCCCAGTTGACCTTATCCATCCATAGCTACATCCCAGGGGCCATAAAACCCTGCCCCAGGACTCCCAGCGCCACCCAGTGCATCTCCAGAGCTTCTGGAGAACATCCCAGTTGAACCAGTCCCATTAAATGTCCATCCCAGTTGATCCCAGTTGACCCCAGTTGACTTTATCCATCCATAACTACATCCCAGTTGCCCCCCAGCCCCTCCCAGTCCCTCCTATCCCCTCCTACACCCTCCCAGTCCCTTCCAGTTGCCCCCAATCACCCTCTCGCCCCCTCCCAGTCCCTCCCAGTGCCCCCCAGTTGCCCACCCGGGGGTGCAGGAAGGTGATTCCATCGCGGTGGCCGGCCAGGAGGCCGACGGGGCGGGGCTGCCCCTCCCCCAGGCAGCGGCGGTCCCAGGCCCGGATGACCCCGTCGTCCCCCCCCGAGAGCAACAGCTGCCCCCCCGTGCCGTCCCCCAGGGCCACCGCGTTGACGTCGTCCTCGTGGGCCTCCACCTGCGGGGGGGGGAAGGGGGGGAAGGGGGAGGTCAAGGTCACCCCATGGGGTGGCCTTGACCCCATCGGGTGGCTCTTGGGACCCATAGGGTGGCCTTGGGACAATGGGGTAGACGTGGCCTCCATAGGGTGACCTTGACCCCCATAGGGTGACATTGGGACCATGGGGTAGACCTGGCCCCCATGGAGAGGTTTTGGGACCCATAGGGTGACCCTGGGACCCGTAGGGTGGCCTTGGGACAATGGGGTAGACGTGGCCTCCATAGGGTGACCTTGACCCCCATAGGGTGACATTGGGACCATGGGGTAGACCTGGCCTCCGTGGGGAGGCCTTGACCCCCAATGGGGTAGACCTGACCTCCGTGGGGTGGCCTTGACCCCCAAAGGGGTAGACCTGGCCTCTGTGGGGTGTGGCCTCCATAGGGTGACCTTGACCCCCATGGGGTGACATTGATACCATGGGGTAGACCTGGCCCCCATGGAGTGGTTTTGGGACCCATAGGGTGACCCTGGGACCCGTAGGGTGGCCTTGGGACAATGGGGTAGACCTGGTCTCTGTGGGGAGGAGTTGACCCCCAATGGGGTAGACCTGGTCTCTGTGGGGAGGAGTTGACCCCCAATGGGGTAGACCTGGTCTCTGTGGGGAGGAGTTGACCCCCAATGGGGTAGACCTGGTCTCTGTGGGGAGGAGTTGACCCCCAATGGGGTAGACCTGGTCTCTGTGGGGAGGAGTTGACCCCCAATGGGGTAGACCTGGTCTCTGTGGGGAGGAGTTGACCCCCAATGGGGTAGACCTGGTCTCTGTGGGGAGGAGTTGACCCCCAATGGGGTAGACCTGGTCTCTGTGGAGCGGCATTGACCCCCAATGGGGTAGACCTGACCTCCGTGGGGTGGCCTTGACCCCTAAATGGGGTAGACCTGGCCCCCATGGGGTGGCCTTGGGACCCATAGAGTGACCCTGACCTCATAGGGTGACATTGGGACAATGGGGTAGACCTGGTCTCTGTGGGGTTGTATTGACCACCAATGGGGTAGACCTGGTCTCTGTGGGCGGCCTTGACCCCTAAATGGGGTAGACCTGGCCTCCATGGGGAGCAGTAGACCCCCAACGGGGTAGACCTGACCTCCGTGGGGTGGCCTTGACCCTCAACGGGGTAGACCTGGCCTCCATGGGGTGGCTTGACCCCCAATGGGGTAGACCTGCTCTCTGTGGAGCGGCATTGACCCCCAATGGGGGAGACCTGACCTCCGTGGGGTGGCCTTGACCCTCAACGGGGTAGACCTGGCCTCCATGGGGTGGCTTGACCCCCAATGGGGTAGACCTGGTCTCTGTGGGGAGGAGTTGACCCCCAATGGGGTAGACCTGGCCTCCATGGGGAGCAGTAGACCCCCAACGGGGTAGACCTGGCCTCTATGGGGTGGCCTTGACCCCCAACGGGGTAGACCTGGCCTCTGTGGGGTGGCCTTGATTCCCAACAGGGTAGACCTGGCCTCTGTGGGGTGCCATTGACCCACAATGGGGTAGACTTGGCCTCCATGGGGTGGCCTTGAACCCCCAGTGGGGTAGACCTGGTTTCCATGGGGAGGAGTTGACCCTTAACGGGGTAGGTAGACTTGGCCTCTGGGGGTGCCATTGACCCCCAGTGGGGTAGACCTGGCCTCCATGGGAAGGAGTTGACTCCCAATGGGGTAGACCTGGTCTCTGTGGGGAGGAGTTGACCCCCAATGGGGTAGACCTGGTCTCTGTGGAGCGGCATTGACCCCCAATGGGGTAGACCTGACCTCCGTGGGGTGGCCTTGACCCCTAAATGGGGTAGACCTGGCCTCTGTGGGGTGCCACTGACCCCCAACGGGGTAGACCTGGCCTCCATGGGGTGGTCTTGACCCCTCAATGGGGTAGACCTGGCCTCTGTGGGGTGCCTTGACCCCTAAATGGGGTAGACCTGGCCTCCGTGAGGCGGCCTTGACCCCTAAATGGGGTAGACTTGGCCTCTGTTGAGTAGCCTTGACCCCCAGTGGGGTAGACCTGACCTCTATGAGATAGCCTTAACCCCCAGTGAGGTAGACCTGGCCTCCATGGGGTGGCTTGACCCCCAATGGGGTAGACCTGGCCTCCATGGGGAGCAGTAGACCCCCAACGGGGTAGACCTGGCCTCTATGGGGTGGCCTTGACCCTCAACGGGGTAGACCTGGCCTCTGTGGGGTGGCCTTGATTCCCAACAGGGTAGACCTGACCTCCGTGGGGCAGCCTTGACCCCTAAATGGGGTAGACTTGGCCTCTGTTGAGTAGCCTTGACCCCCAATGGGGTAGACCTGGTCTCCGTGGGGAGTCATTGACCCCCAATGGGGTAGACCTGGTCTCTGTGGGGTGGCCTTGACTCCCAACGGGGTAGACCTGGTCTCCGTGGGGAGTCATTGACACCCAACAGGGTAGACTTGGCCTCTGTGGGGTGGCCTTGGCTCCCAATGGGGTAGACCTGGCCTCTGTGGGGTGGCCTTGACCCCCCAGTGGGGTAGACCTGGTTTCCATGGGGAGGAGTTGACCCTTAACGGGGTAGACCTGGACTCTATGGGGTTGCCTTGACCACCAGTGGGGTAGACCTGATCTCCATGGCATGGCCTTGACCCCCAATGGGGTAGACCTGGCCTCCATGGTGTGGCCTTGACCCTCAATGGGGTAGACCTGGCCTCCATGGGGCGTCATTGACCCCGCCCCCTCCTCCCCATTGGCTCCCCCCCTCCCCAGTGACCCCGCCCCCTCCTCCCCATTGGCTCCAACCCCCCACCACGTGACCCCGCCCTGACCCGTAGGATGCGGCGTTGGACCTCCCGGTCGTAGACGTAGAGGCAGCCGTCGTTGGCTCCGCCCACCACCTCCCGCCCGTCCGGCCCCACGGCCAATGAGAAGACGGCGAAGCGACGCTCTTCCGGCCTGAGGGGGCGGGGCCAATGGGGGGAGTGGGCGGGGCCTCCCAGTTGACCCCAGTCCCTTCCCAGTTGACCCCGT